TTTTTTGTTAAAAGTAAAAATTGAAAAAAAAGAAAATTTTTTTTAAATCCTATTACAGATATGATTGGGAAAAGAGCCCTATTATCTCTAAAAGAAGACTATAAAATTTCTACTTGTTTCAAAGCCATATGTCATTGGCCTTTGAAAATATTTGATGTATAACAAAAACTTTAATGTAAATTCTAAGTCGAAAAAGGGGCATTATTCTGTCAAAATGCTTAATATAGTTACCTCCCCTGTCTACAGGTTGGGGTCATGACTGTGAACAAGTGTGCAAAGTTTCAAAGTCATATGTCAATGGACTCAAATATTTGAGGTATTACAAAAACTTTAACGATATTTCTAAGTCGAAAAAGGGGCATAATTCTGTCAAAATGCTTAACACAGTTTCCTTTACCTGTCTACAGGTTTGGGTAATGATGATGAATAAGTGTGCAAAGTTTCAAAGCCAACATGTCAATGGACTTTGAAAATATTTGAGGTATTACAAAAACTTAATGTCAATTCGAAAAAGGGGCACAATTCTGTCAAAATGCTTGATATAGTTACCTCCCTTGTCTACAGGTTGGGGTCATGATTGTGAACAAGTGTACAAAGGTCCAAAGCCATATGTCAATGGACTTTGAAAATATTTGAGGCATTACAAAAACTGTATCGTAAATTCTAAGTCGAAAAAGGGGCATAATTCTGTCAAAATGCTTGATACAGTTACCTCCTCCTGTCTACAGGTTTGGGTCATGATCGCGAACAAGTTGTGCAAAGTTTCAAAGCATATGTCAATGGACTTTGAAAACATTTTAGGTATTACAAAAACTTTAACATAAGTGGTTACGCCGACGCGGACGCCGACGCCCTGAAACATTTGAGGTATTACAAAAACTTTAACATAAGTGGTTACGCCGACGCGGAGGCCGACGCCCGGGTGACTACAATAGCTCTACTTATTCTTATCGAATAGTCGAACTTAAAAACATCTAGTAGATTTTATTTGTTAAAAGGACCTTCTTCACAGATAAATAAGTTTCAAAGGCTCAGAGATCTAACGTTAGGAAAATAAGTGCAAGCGATCCAAGTCAATTGTTGCTATTTGGACCTGTGATTTGATTTTTAATTATATATAGTCTTAAGAAAATTCGTAAAAAACGCATCATATTCTCGAGTCAACTGTTGAAAAACCATTAATTAATTCTATTTCAAAATCGATTTTGTGCAATTTTTGAGGGTCTTCATTGCACATTACAAGGCCTAAACCTTAAACCAAGTAAAATGTCCAGGAGATTTCCGCGTGGCATGGTCATTTTTTGACATTGTTGAGCCTACCGTTCAAAAACCATTTGACTAATGCCGTTGAAAATTCGATTGTGTACATTCGAGGTTGTTCTTTGTACATTATAAGGCCTGAAGCCCTTACCCAAACAATATGTCCAGGAGATTTCCGTGTGGCTTGGTTATTTTTTGGACCAGCGATTTGTTCTTTCTGTATATAAAGCGTTGAAAAAACATCATTATCTCGAGCCCAACTTTAAACCCCATTTGACCAAATCCTTTGAAAATTTGATTTTGTTTAAGTTTAGAAGGGCTTCAGCACATATTGTAAAGCCTAAAACCCTAACCATGAGCCTAGAAAGGTTCTTGGTTTTTCGTAAAATACTACTAAAAAGGCCTATCACCGTGGGGTTTGGGTCAGCTTGACTATATTCCATGAGTCTAGAAAGGTTCTTGGTTTCCGTAAAAACAACTAAAAAGGTCTATAACCGTGTGTTTGGTGAGCTTGATTGTATTTTCAGAGGCTAGAAAGGTTCTTGGTTTTCCGCGAAGAACTACTAAAATAGCCTTTCACCTTGGGTTAGGTCAAGTTTAGTTTATTCCCTAAGGCACGAAAGGTGTTTGGTTTTTCGTCAACAACTAACTACTATTTAGGCATATCATGTGGGTTTGGTCAGCTTGAATATTTTCCCTGAAGCTAGAACAGGACTTAGTTTTCCGTAAGGAACTACTGAAAAGGTCTATGACCGTGGGTTTGGTCAGCTTGATTGTTTTCCATGAAAACCGGACTTGGTTTCGATTAAAAGCAAAACAAAACGCCGTGGGTTCGGTTAGCTTAATTGTATTTCCTGACGCTTAAAAGGTTCTGATTTTCCCTTTTTGAACTACTGAAAAGGTCTATCCCCGTGCGTCTGGTCAGCTGGACTGTATTTCTTGAGGATCCAATCGGGCTGGGTTTTCAGTTAAGATAATTATACTAAAAAGGCCTATCACAGTAGATTTGGTCAACTTGCTTGTAATCCAAAAGGCTAGAAAGGTTCTTGGTTTTCCGTTGAGAGCTACTAAAATAGCCTGTCAGCTTGGGTTATGTCAGCTTGACTGTATTCCTTTAGGAAAGAAAGGTGCTTGGTTTTCCGTTTAGAACTACTTTTAACGCATATCACCGTGGTGGGTAAGGTCATCTTGACTGTATTCCCTGAGGCGAGAAGTGGGCTTTGTTTTCCACTAAGAACTACTAAAAAGGCATACCACCTTTCGTTGGTCAGCTTGACTGTATTCCATTAGACTAGAAAGGTCTCTGGTTTTTCGTTAAGAATTACAAAAAAGGCCTTTCAACGTGGGTTTGGTCAGCTTGACTTTATTCCCTGAGGCTAGAACTGGGCTCGGTTTTCCGTTAAGATGTACTATCCAAACCTATAACCATGGGTTTGGTCAGCTTGAATGTTTTCCATAAGGCCTGAAAGGTTCTTGGTTTTCCGTTAAGAATCACATAAAATGCCTATCACCGTGAGTTTGATCAGCTTGACTGTATTCCCTGAGGCTACAAAGGATTTTGGTTTTCCGTGAAGAAAAACTAAGAAATGTCCTAACGTCGTAGCTGTTTTCAGTTTGATTGTATTCCAGAAGCTAGAACCGGGTTTAGTTTTTGGTTAAGAACTATCAAAAAAGGCATATCACCGTCGGATTGGTCAGATTGAGTGTATGCTCTGAGACTAGAGACTACTAAAAAGGCCTATCGCAGTAGCTTGATTGTATTCCCAGAAGTTAGAACTGGGCTTAGTTTTCGGTTAACTATCATTTTTAAATAACTATACGTTATTTGTCTTATAAAAAAAGCACCTGCCACGTTCAATAACACGATGGCCTGCCTTAAAACAGGGCCAATATCTATATCACTTATTCGGCCCCGATAATCAAGCCCGCATTTGAAGTAATTTGATTGGCTAATAAAGCAAAAAAAATGAAATAGATATCTGCAAGAAACTGAAAATGGCACCCATTTTGTTTTAACTCGGTCTATGTGAAGACGCCGACAGGTTGCATAAATGAAACAAAATATTCTCAGTTTCTAAACAATCACAGTCTGACATTTATTGGTATACATGTACAATATAAGTTACAAAATGTGGCTAAGAATAGATATCCGAAGATTAAATGTGAAATATTATAAGTACATGTAGTTAATTAATAAAATTGGCAATAAATAAATGCTTTAGAACAAATGAGAAATATGAAAAAAAGCATAAAAAAGAAAAAAAAGTAAGCGATCTAAATTGTATGTACAAAGGCATTGTAATACATGTCTCCAAATTTTAGCTAATATATAACAAATTTTTGCTATATCATTTTAATGCTCTCTTAAAAACATATATAATACTCTTAAAATGAGACATTATCATATTTGCTGTTTATATGTTATTTGATATAAACAAGGGAGATCACTCGTTTTCATGTGAGTTACTTGAGTTGATGAAGTTTTCTTACCCTTTTACCCCATGAGCATATTATAATCATTGGAAAGCCTCCTGTTAAAAGTTCAAACGTGCTATAAAAACTACAAAACAATACTTTAATACTGATGAAACTTGGCACAAATGTTGGCTGGACCATAGCCTCTGTAACAGCAATGCTCAATCGTAAATTTCCTGTTACCATGGCAACGGGGGGCGTCTAAAAATTGCGAAAAAATCACTATTTTGCGTTATTTTTTTTTCAAAAAAAAAAACTGATTTTAAAGTGCTGCAAATTCTCAATGAATTGAGATGGAGTAAAAGGCTTTTCAGCGACCTGATGCCATTTTAGCCTGTCACATGTCCAAAAACTCTTTTGGCGATGAGGGGGGTAGTCCCCCCCTTCCCCACCCCCCCCCCCAATATGCCCCCTTCTGGCAACCCCTAATGTATCATTTTGATGAGAGGTGGCGCCGAAAAAGTGGTCACGTTTTTAAACAACATTTCTCAAACGAAAAACAGTGTTTGGGGTCACTTTTCACTGTTTGAGGCCTCAAAGGGGGGGGGGGACAAAAAACCGTCAAACACACGTATATATGAGTTAAAAGATTAGCAAAAAAATGATGACAAACTTTGGAATTACCAAAAACTGGTTTTTCCATGTTAACACGTGCATTTACACCTAAGTTTGGTGTAAAATTGTTGTTATGTGGCATTTTTTATTTTTTAATACATGTACAAAATTATTAAAATTGTCACATTATATTTGGCACAAAATAAGTATAGTATCAACCCACACTCCTCCGTTATATATTATAACTAGAAATATCAATAATGACAAAATATTAACAAATAAAATATCTACAAAAATGTATATAAAATTATGGCTTTTATTTTAAAAAGACATTAATGATCTTATCCGCTTCAAAGCAGTCTAAAGAAGAAATAGTAAAGTGAAAAGCAGTACATTACATTATAGTACAGTACATTTTCCCATTTATTCCCCTTCCGCATCGCCCTTAAATCTAGCAAAAGAGGCTAGGCAAAAAGTCCTCTTTGATACCTACCGATATGATTGTTTAACCAAACGCCACCACCCCCACACCCCCGCTCGTACTTTACATACTACATTGAGGGGCATCAAAGATAGTGGCCGCCCTATTTCAAACATTAAAGAACTGACGCCGTATGATATGAAAAGCGTTGCTGAGATTTAATTATATCTACGAAAAAGGCATGAAAAATCGCACACACGTCCTTAAACGTTATATCATTTTAATTAGACAAAAATTTACTCTTTGCCTAGCTATGGGAATTTTCTTTGTTGAATTTGCAAAAATATAACATTATAACCTTAAAATTTACATTCATTACTAATCAGACACAGAAATTTAACCAGCTAATTCTGTAAGATAAAGAGATCATGAGAATATTTGACATCAGAACAGACAAATATCACTACTGGTATTCCATGACAATAATAGAATACTTCAGTCCTTCATCAAAAGTTCAATAAAATCCTGCATGCCTACAATTGCATAATAGTATATATACGTTAAATTATAGATTTCAATCAGCATAACAGTTTTATTGTCGCGTTGTTTTTAGAAATGAATTTTAAATAACTTTTTATCATGTATCACAGTTACCACACACACACACATCCAAACACGACTCACAGTTACCACGACACTTTTGTAGCGACTCACAAATACGTATAAGTTTTACAACAACTGACAGTTACCACACCTCATTTACAAAACTAATATACGTCAAACATTTACCACACTAGGGAATTCATGACTGACTGTTACCATACTAAAATAATCTCGACTCGCAGTTACCCCACACTCATATAACTCTACTCGCAGTTACTACAGCAAATACATTATGGCATCACGATTCACGACTCGGATTCGTGTGCTTCGTCTTGACAGAAATGTCCATTGTTCAGGCTTTGAAGAGACGCAGAATTTGTTTTAGGCTTCAGTTCATCTTCGTGCCGGCTTGTATTGTTCAAGCTTTGAAGAGACGCAGAATTTGTTTTAGGCTTCAGCTCATCTTCGTGCCGGCTTGTATTGTTCAGACTTTGAAGAGACGCAGAATTTGTTTTAGGCTTCAGTTCATCTTCGTGCCTGCTTGTATTGTTCAGACTTTGAAGAGACGCAGAATTTGTTTTAGGCTTCAGTTCATCTTCGAGCCGGCTTGTATTGTTCAGGCTTTGAATAGACGCAGAATTTGTTTTAGGCTTCAGTTCATCTTCGTGCCGGCTTGTATTGTTCAGGCTTTGAAGAGACGCAGAATTTGTTTTAGGCTTCAGTTCATCTTCGTGCCGGCTTGTATTATTGCGGCTTTGAAGAGACGCAGGATTTGTTTCAGGCTTCAGTTCATCTTCGTGCCGGCTTGTATTATTCAGGCTTTGAAGAGACGCAGAATTTGTTTTAGGCTTCAGTTCATCTTCGTGCCGGCTTGTATAAAACTTTCGACGACGAACACAAACATAGGCTATCACCCCAATTATAATCAAGCCAGAAACAATTCCAACACCAAGTCCAATCATTAAAGGTTTAAGTGTATCGTCTTCTGGGTGTTGTGATCTACCTTCAGACGCTGTGATAGAGTTGTCTTTATCCCCTTTAGGTTTGTCTGGTGATTTGGTTGTTATCTCATTTGTTCGTTTTGTTGATTTAGCAGATTTACTCGTCTTGCCGCCGGTATCTGTATTGGTGACTTCGGCTTTTATTATTGTCACTCCTTTTGTGGTGGTTGTATTGTGTATGTTAGTGTATGGTCTCTTCGTTTCTCCTGTCTTCTCATCGGTCGTTTTTGTGAAAGATGAACTTGAAGTTGAAGAGAGGTTAGAAGTAGAGCTTGAGCTAAATCTAGATGTGCTGCTGCTACTGTTACTTGAAAACGAAGAAGATGATGATGAACTAGAAGATGAGAATGAAGATGACGTCGTTGTTGAAGCGGTAGACTTTGACGTTGAAGAGGATTTTCCTGGTGCACTTGTTTTAGCAGAGAAAACAGTTGTTGTGCTAGTTTGCTTAGAATCTGTAGGAGATGTACTTGATGTCTTTAAAGAACTTCTTGTAGTTGTCTTTGGCTCTTGTGTAGGTTGTGGCGTGGAAGATTTTTCTGACGTGGTCGAAGACGTGACGGTTGTTGAGGTAATCGGAGACTTTGTTGAAGAGCTTGTGCTAGCGATTGAAGAACTTGTCGTAGATGAGGATACAATCGTCGGTATCCCTGCATTATCTAAGAAATATATGAAGATATTAACTGAAACTGATAATTCGCTGTTTTTTCATTGTCAAGTTTAGCTGATTTGACTACATTTTTTCAAAAGATTGACTGTTATTTTGTTGACTAACTAAAAGTTTAAATTGAAAAATGTTGAGGATACAATATAAATCTGCCAAAATTTAAGACTGTCATACTCTTTTTATAAATTGAACGTAAATTCAGATAGATCCTTGCATACGGGGTTTATTTATTGTCCATGCGAATTAAATAATGAAATTGAATGGCAGAATGGCAAAGTGGTATTATATTGTGACTTTCGCCTGTCCTCCCCCTTGCAAGGGGCATAATGTTCGTTACGTATATTTTGTCTACTTGTTTATTAGAGTCTATTTATTTAATTATATATATAAAATGTGCAATACAAGACTTTCAAGGTTGTCATAACTGTTTTATGCATTGAAGATTTATATCCCTTATCAACACACATTTCCTAAACAACAAAATACTTGTATTTTACTTTACATGTAAAACCATTAGAAGTATCCTTTTTTATCCTGCTACAACTTAGAAAGGATTGAAGTATTATAAAGTGGCAAAATGCTCCACAGTCTAAAGCATGGTTGTAAAATAATAGTGTATGATTGATCAGATTATAGCACATTAAGATTAACAAGGAAACTTTAGGCATGCACTAAGTCTATTTACCTTAAATACGTACATAAAGATGATTTCTTGAAGGAAACTTTAGGCATGTACTAAGTATATTTACCTTAACCGCGTACATAAAGACTATTTCTTGAATAAATTTCGTTAAGGTTATTGTTAAGATAGTCTTACTGTAATGCTTTCCCGCCAAATATTCATCGGTCAATATCGTAGCAAATCGGTTATTTCCGGAACGTTTTTTTTTTCCAAAATCTAAGGCATTATATTATTTACAACCACTAATCCGTTATCCCTATGTACTAAATTCTGGTTACAAGCGGTTAAAAATTATTGAATACCGAAGAATGTGAAGAAGAAAAAAAAGTTCCGAAAATGACCGATTTATTACGATATTGGCGGATGGCGAAAGCAATGCATTTAGACTACATTTAGACAATTTTTCAAAATTTCTCCCTTTTGTTGTTGTTATCATTGAAAGATATATATAACAGCCAAATAAATAAAAACCTGTGGTGTCCGGACCAGGTGTTTTAACTTTCTTCGTTGATTGAGTAGTCGCTTGTCTAGTTGGCGTCGTTTTCATTTCCGGTTGAATTGTTCTTGTCTGTCTCATCGTAGTTTCTGTGAAAGATGGATTTGGTGTGCTTTGACTTGTTTGGCGTTCCATAGTTACTTTTGGCGATGATGTAGCGGTTTGTGGCGTGTGTGGTAGCGATGACGTCTTCACAACAGTTGTTGATTCAGTGGAAGTTATAACCGGCTTATTGGTTTCTGATTTGCTTGTATTTATGATCGTTGTTTCCGGAGATTTTGTTGTTGATGTTTCTTTCTTTATTGTCGTTTCAGTTGGAGTTGTTGTTGTTGTTGTTGTTGTCGTTTCAATTACAGCAGTCTTTGGTGAAGATATTTCTGTTATCTTTGTTGTTACTGTTGTTTTTGTTGTTGTACCTGATGTTGAAGAAGAAGATGATGTAGTAGTGGTTGAAGAGGATGAGCTGCTCGTAACTGGAGGAGAAGTTGTATTCTTGGTGCAGTTGTGGAGACGAACATCGTCTATGGCAATATCGCTTATGTAGCTGCGGGCTCGAGTTGCAACAATTGAAATCTGAAACAAAATAAAACTTGTGATATAATTACTGGCATCCGAACTCCAAACAGCGATTTTATTTAGCGATAAAGTCACTCTAGAGGGGGATATTTTTCCTCTTAAATACACAATTCGTATATGTACATGTAGTTAATAATAAACCATTTGTAAAATGTGAAATCAAATAAACGATTAGTAAATTGTTGATTTATACATGCAGTAAAATACACCATTTGTATATAGTTGTTACATCATTTGTAAATTATATGTATATATACATATAGTAGAATACAGCATTTGTAACTACATGCAGTTAATACACAATTGGTAAAATAGATAAATATACCATTTGAGTATACATTTAGTTAAATACACCATTTGTAACTACTTAATATACCATTTGTAAAATAGATAAATACGCCATTTGTAAAATAGATAATTACGCCATTTGTAAATAGGTAATACACCATTTGTAATTTAGATAAATACACCGTTTGTAAAATAGATAAATACGCCATTTGTAAATAAGATAAATACACCATTTTTAAAAAAGATAAATACACCATTTGTAAAATAGCTAAATACACTATTTGCATACATATATAGTTTACCGGTTGGCATAAAGAGTTAATATTCATATGCATTATTTAGCAGCAGAATCTTTAAATTATTATAATTTTTTTATTTGTGGATCGATTTTTTTAGATTCTTATATCATTTGAAAGTTCTTTACATACATACTTTTGAAATATAAGCAGATTTCCATTTTTTTTTTGGTTTAAAAAAAAAAAAAACCACGCGCGCATACGAAAAGTAGATCACCGTCTAAGTCAGTTAGACGCTTATAAGAAAACAACTTAAACAATTTAAAAAGTTATATTCTGTCGCTCCGGTCCCATCCTTTAACCGTGCCAATCGTTTAAATTTTTTTAGCATCACATAGATAACATTTTATTATGTTTAGATAGGATAAAATATTTAACCTGGAAAGGTTCGTCCTGCTTTTCTATAAAAATATTGCCTCGATGCCATTGGTCGCCCTGATTTCCATCTATATAGAATAACGGCTTTACATCGTCGTCGTCTATATATTGGGACTGGTCTAAAACAAACACTTCTAGGGAGCCAACATCTTGAAAATAAAAGTGTAATTTTTAATACAAAGCTGGTTAATATGTGAGGTAAACGATTGTGCTTTATTTCTGACATCGTTGTAGTAAAGTTAGCTTCATCCCAAATACGAAATATAACACTTTAGACTTTTTAACATAAGAAATGAATTAAATTCTTATAAATTCACATCGAACTATTTTAAATATTATCTGAGCATATACATTATATGTAATGATGACTTTAAACATTCTGAGTTATAAAAATGATTTAAAAATTTCCCTGTACTAGTGTAAGCTTTTACGTAAACTGTTTATGACACAAGGAGGCACACGAGTAAAACCACCGACAATCCGTAAGCAAGTTGAAAAGCTCACCCACGGGAATGTGTCTAGTGGACCCTTTGCAAGTGCAAAATTTGATACTACAGAATCGAGTGACCAATGATTCGAAGCTAGTGACCATAACAAGTCGACAACGAAGTGCCCAGGGTATATATTCTGACTGGAAGAGTGGAAGAACATATAATTTATCAAGCAAACAAATATACAAACAAACAACACAAGTAAAACCTTCACACTTACGTCCTTTCTCATCCGGGCCCAGAATATGGTACCAGAAATCGAAACACATTGGGCTGAGATCTTCTGTATACATGGGTGAAAGTAAATTAGCTTGATGACCTGTCATCGTAGGATTCGACGTCTCAAAGTACAGGTAATGCCCTAAAATATTGAACAATATATATGATCTAGACGGGGTTTGAAAGACTCTTATCTAGGTTACTGACACATACCAAGCCATGATCTAAGCTTGTTGAGACAAGTTTGTCTATGAATTTAGTTTATACAACCGCAAAAGCAACTTTTACTGTTTGCTTAAAGCTATCAAGTCAATGGTTTACAGTATTTGCATCATATGACGTTTCTAACTGCCACAGTTACGTATGTATGTTAGGCAAAAGCAAAAATACCATTTCCGGTGTCTCCTAAAGTATGGTCATGTTTAGGACCAGTATTTCCGGTTTGGGTTGCTCCAACATTCAGAATCCAGTCCTGTTCTTCGTCGTCATCTTGTTTCCAACCACAAAGATCATCCTCAAAATCACATTCTGTTAGCTCGTGGGGTGCTGTTAATTTATTTAAATTAATTTATATCAGTTTTGTTATAAATGAAACCTAACATATCAATATACAACATTTTAAAATGCGAACTGATACAAGTTAGCGAAAAGTTCCTTTTTTCTGATGCAACTGCTGAAAGTGATCTGCGCCCCTGAAATGATATTACCCAATAAGCAATCATCGTATGTGGTAACGTTAAAATGGATTATGATGAAATTTGACTGTTAATTAAATCATTTTCTCTAGACGTTGACATTACCCGAGACATAATTCATATCATGCCCCAGGTCATATAAAAATAAAAGCAGACGAGAAATTTGGTGAAAGCATATTCTAATTCAAACATCTCAGTTCATTACAGGCCTAAACATAAGACTTATGCAGAAATATAATCAACGCCAAAATAAAGTAGGAAAGGAAATGCTGAAAAATGTTTGGTAAAATCCCGAAAAGGAATATTTAAGATTATTTTTTCTTATCTTACATGATTAAGATACCTTAAGCAAATTATTTTTTATGCTTGCATGCAATATGTGCACGAAAAGCTAACCGGCACATCTAGGTAGTGGAGCGCTCCAATCTTTCCCATTACAGTACGCCAGTGTGTCGCCGATCAGTAAGTAATTATTAAGGCAGGAAAATTTTACGACAGCACCTTTTACAACTTCCATATCAAGATTTGTAACCTGACTAGGATCAAGGGGAACGCAGCCTGTCTCTAAAATTATAAATTTATACGTTTTCATCGCTGTTTATTAGCAAATCATAACAAGTTTTATATTAGAAGTACGTGTTTCGAGATATTTTAAGTGCATCTCTCATATACTAAAATACTTGTTATAAACACATGAAATAATATTTATTTGCGAAATGCAATGTAAAAAATGAAACGAAATTCGAAAAAAAATTGAATGAGGTGGGGTTTTTTTTGTTTTTTTTGGGGTTTTTTTTTCTAGGTTTAGAAAGATATGCTATATGAGATAAAATTACAGAGTTTCTTTGAAAAGATGGATTAGATTCAGAAGAAGAACTTACTGGTACAAAGTGGCGGTTCATTGCTCCACGTCCCGTCCGACTGGCATGTGGCAAACCTTGGACCATACATTAGAAATTTCTTTCGACATCTAAACTGTGCTCTGGTGCCTTTCCGTCGATATTTTATTACCTTTAAGCCCGGGAAATCACCGTCCGTAAACTTTGGACAGTTGGCCGCACGTCCCACTTAAATAAATGACGCAATATGATTTAGGTAAAAGAAATCATTATAAACTCGATAAAAATCGGCAAAGTTCGGCAATTTGGCAATTTCCCGATGTTATATAGTGCAAAGTCAAAACAATTGAAATGACAAAGAGCCAGCAGCATATATCTGATACGGAAAATCACGATGTTTGCCGAACTGTCTGTCAAGGTTAAACATAAACTACTGAGATAAATCAGAGGAAAAACTTCATGCATCAGTCATTTGTAAGACATAAGTGTTAAACATTTGAAAAGAAAGTGTTTGACATGATAACAAATGGCCGTAACTAAGTACAGAGTATAAACAAGTTCATACTATCTGGGTACAGTGTTGGACGCTTGCCGAAATGATGATCACAAAATAGAAAAATATCTTCTTTTTTTGCAGATTCTTACATTTTTCATTCATTACATTTATCTTGATATATAAATCCGTGTTAACAGATGAATTAGACATCTTTAGTGCATTGCGGCGGTTTTAAAATGGGGAGATTTTAGCACTTTATCATTCAAGCGCCTTGTCCGGTATTAAGTGTGGTGCTGCAGCACTTTTTCAGTCCTCCCAGCTTCAACAGACGTCAAAGTAAAACTCGTGGATAGTTGTTCATGCGCATCACAATATAGACAAATATCTTTTTTTTCCCGTCGATTTTTACATTTTTCATTCGTTATCATACTTAAATCGATGTGAACAGATGAATTAGACCTTTTAAAGTTCGTTCCGTTGGGTAAAAGGCAAGAATTTAGCATTTTATCATTCAAGCGCCTTGTCCGGTATATACCGGAAAACGGTAGACTGTTGAATATGCTGTTTTAGCAATGGTAAATTTTAAAAGTTTTCACAATTCTGATGCAAGTTTGATAATCGTCCAAGCACATTTAAGTTCACAGATGCTCTGACCTTCACATTTCTCTTTGACAGTTAATCTCGGACATCAAATCTAAAGCTGATTAGGCTGATTGACGCCGAGATATAAACAAACATGTCTTAAAATCGGCTTAAAGCCAGAAAAAAACAAACAAAACAAATCCTTAAATCATGTTTGCTACCGAATCCTTAAGAAAACATTAAGCACTTAAAAATCTTCCTTCATGCCTATCATTTTGTTGCCTTAACTAATTTTGCTTCATTTCTGATGAACTTAAATTACAACGAGGCCTTCTTCTCATTTTCTATAAATAGTAACGCATCGTTGTCGCGCGCGAAAAACGTGCAATATTATGGCATTTTACGAAATGAAACTTGGAATTTTAAAAATTTTTTAAAAACGGCAGTTAATATTATTATGCTTTTATTATTAACTGATCCAATACATTCATTCTCTATGTTATTGCATTTATACCAAAAAATAAAAGTTCAAGATTTTTGATGACATGCTGATAACGTCCAAACAAGTCATGGTATATAATGCAAATATTTTGCTTAAATCAGTATGCAAACTTTCCATGTAACCAAGCGAACACTTTGTTTTGCAACTCAGTATATTAAGTATTAAGAGCTGTTGTCGCCTAGGTTTTCGGGTAAGGTACATCTTCATATATTGAAACAGTTTGCCATTTTCAGATTTTTTTACCTTAAAGTCAATAATGGAAGGTCTGTTCATATAAATTGTGGTAAAGGCACTTATAATTCAAAAATGTATAAACAACGTTTCAAAATACCAGCATGCAAAAAGTAATTCATATTAGCATATTAATACTGATTTTCCTATAACTTCTTTACTAATTTTTAAATTCATGCATCCTTTGATAAGGAGTCTATATTTTTTCTCAAACAGTTAACGCCGCCTACACATTCCTTCTGTGGGAATGTACATGTAGGTAAAGTGTCCCGGAAAAATATAGAGTTCGTTTTTAAAGACTCATGGAGCAGCGGAAAGCACTCACTATTCTTTTTTATTGACTGCACATTACATGGCGGAACTGCGTTTCATAGAGGAAGTCCTAAGTGTTTCCTAAAGCTTAGGACGTAATGCTAACTTTCAGACCATTTAAGACCATTTCAACTAAATATTTCAATATTTGGTCAAATTCTTTAGGCTAAGAATAAATTCGTTCTCTTGAGAAAAGTTAAGAAATACAATGACATTCAATTTAATTCACGATGTGTTAATGCCCATCTGCATTGCTACTAAAAAATTGAAAGAATCATAACATAGGGTCTCATAAGTTCTGGGAAGGGCTTAATCTAATGTTGTGAGAACTTGTTGCCCAACCCATTTGCATTTTGATATATATATACTTTATTTGTATGCTATATTTGTAAACATGTATTAAATGCAATAAAATATGTTTAAACTAATAAGTCTGGACATTTTACTTTTAAACGCAAAATTGTCTCAGATTAGGTTCTAAGACTTTCTATGAAACGCAACTCAGGAATGTTAAGTTTTAGATTTTCTAGAATCATAGACTGGTATAGGTTCAAAACATGGTCGCATTATATAATATGGTGTCTGTGATCATATGAAATGATATGGAATTTTCAATTGTGCACGTTACTCGAATGACGACAAAAGTATCACGTGGTTTGGCGTCACAATCTTTGGTTCCTTTACATGTATACAAGCTGTCAAAGAGAAGCACTACTTTTGTGACATGTTTTATAATTCCTTTAAAATAAACAAGCTCCCTAAAAGCGTGCTTTCTTTTTATGGACAATATCTTTGTAAATAACCTTTTAAGTGTTGTTCACAACAGTAAGTCAAAAGAAATAATTAAAAACTATATGTAGCGCAAAAATATATTATAAGATTTCAAAATTAAATGTTGTTTAAAACTGATTAACTCATGATTTCATAAGATCGCATTTAAATTAAATTTCACGTTCTACACGTACTTACCCATACAAAATAACAGTGATCAAATTATTTGACTTACTTTTCTCACATCCACTTAAAAAGAATAGCTTCTACATTTATAAAAACAACAACAATTGATGCAACTTGTGCGAACTCGAAATTCAACAAAGATTATATTTATTGCATAACTACTGCATCTTGTTGGTAGCACAATTCAAGCGGAAAAGCTATGAAAAACAATTTACATGAAAAAGCATTGTCTTTAAAGTATGTCGACTTTAAGAATAAACTAACATTATTTTTCTCAAATTTTGCAATACTTTATAATTGTCACTTACCTCTTTCGTAGGCTTCGGTTGCAATATAATTTAATGTCAGCACATACAATATCGTAAAAATCTCCATCCCGGGCGAAATGTAAATAATGATGACTTAAAAGAAAAAACAAACAAACACAAAACGAAAAGTTGATAATATAAATTAAAAAATCAACTTCTTCTTGCACGTAAGCACTGTACTAAAATGTGAATAATACGTTTCGTGACTGCATTTTTGTCACCAAATCTACACCAAGTATCAACCGTTTGTTGTATTTCTTTTAATGAAACGAATTCATGTTGTTGTTGTTTTTGTTGTAATGGTCTTTGTTGTAATAAGACATGGTAGTGTGTTATGTCGCTGTTCCATCGTCATTTAAAATCTACGATGTCTTCCTTATTGTCAGTACTTCAGATGGAATGCTGGGTATTATATTTGTGTCAAGGTCAAGTGAGCGGCCATTTCAGATTTTTATATCTTATATTCGTTTTTTTATATCATACGTGAATAATATCATATTTTATCGTTACTTATCCTTATAAAGTAATACATATCAAAGGTTAATGTTTGATGCTCTCAGATGTCTGTCAATACATTGAGATGATTATATATGTATTTGACATGTACATATTTTAAGACACCGAGCTAAACATTATTTAAGCATACTTATATAGTCCCCACAATGCTCTTTTCTTGTTTCGAAATCGCCAAACCATCTTTTGCATTTTAAGAAAGTGACTAAGTACATGTGTGTTGCACTCAAGACAAATTTCCATTTTTTGTTGACAAATTATATCAAATTCTCTTTAAAACGGTTGTAAAGCACGGATTCGCTCGACTTTTCTTCAGGGGGAAATCGCATTCGTTTCTGATGTTTTCTTTTGCACAATCGAACTAAAATAAATTCTGTATAAATCCATCTGTTTTTGTGTAAATTAGATTTTAATATCAGATTTTGAAATTTCACATCACGGAAGTTCGGTGGCTCTATTAAGGTATCCATAAAACACAAAGAGAAACAATACCCGGGGATGAAACGAAGCTTGGTAGAGTACAATAGAGATTTGATATGGATTTTTGAAGTCGGAAAAGGACAACGAGGCACAAATGATAAGATTCGATCCAATATTGATTTATATTGGGAGATTACATTGTGCAAACGCTGGAGAATCATTGTTTACATTCTATATCATGTGAAATAAAATAGACTAACTTGTTATAAGAGTATCTTGTATGTATCTTGTTTAATGAATGCAGATAATATGACTTAATATGTATAGGTAATTTATATAATGCTATGAGGATATTGTACATTCTTGAGTACAATACTGAATTTTATTGTACGTGTACAAATACAATAACAAGCAATATAACATAAATATATAGCGTCAATATCAGTACTGATATTCAAGCTGTGTGTGACTCCAATAAATTTAGTATTGTTCTCAACAATATAAAATATGTTCTTCTAAAGGAGAAAATACATTTTATTTTAGAAAACAATCAAAATCGACTGTGTTTAGTATAACATTACGAGTAAATACGAACATAGCCGATAGCATCAATACATAGTTACTTCTAACTACAATATGGGTTTAATATAGGTTGTTTTATTTTATTTTTTTTTATTAAAAATTTGAAAACCAGACTTGATAAAGTACATAATAGATTTGATATGGACTTTTCTACTCGGAAAATGAAAACGAGGCTATTTTTAATGAATTTAGATGCAATAATGATACACATGTATATTCGAATACCGGAAGGTCATGTGATGCAAACGCTGCACGTTTATTGGTTAAATTTTATAAAATGTGAAATAAAACATTTTATACATCATGCTCTACAACACGCACTTTTAAACGTCGTTGCATGATTAACTACTAAATAGAACTCAATGCTTCACTTTAAATTAGACTCTTCACTTTCAAAAGATGAGATACTATGAACCACTTAAAGAACAATCATAAGCTATTTCTAATATATAACGTTTGTTATTTAACATAATTGTTACTATAAATGCAATAATGTACACATCTAGCACTTATTCCATGAAAAGTAAATTAAATATAAGGAGCACAGCTAACTACGGTGTCTTTATCGCGCCATTTTCAATGTCGTCGGTCGTGGAAAGAAGAGGGCGCTCGACAAAACAAAGTAACATCGCGACAATGCGAACAAATCCCTATTGACAGAATATAAATACTGAACAATATTAATTGTGAAATCCAGAATTTAGCGTGAAATATGTTTAATATACTGATGCGAAAACAGAATGGGCTGTCATATAAAAGAAAATAGACTGCACTTATTTAAAGTTACAATAATGCATCCCCAAATAACAAAGTTAAGCGCTTTTACAAACCCATAAACCTATGTGTTATGCAGCGATATCCCACAAGGCATCTGTGTTGCGTTGGAGGGAAATATCCGAACTGTTATAATACAAACGTTTTCAGGATATTCACACTGTCAGCATAGAAAGCTGCTATCAATTCCACCAATAGACCAGATTTTTAAAGCGAGTCTACAGATAGTTCCTGAGTTAACAATTTTTACCTCCCTTGCAACAACTGTCAAATTTCTGTGAAAAGGGGTATAATAACTCGGTAAAACAATTCTATCATTTCCCATAAACAGCTATAAAAAGTAATTTTCGCATCATGACAGGGAATAAACAAAAATCATGTTGTTGTTGTTGATGATGTTATTGTCGTTGTTGTTGTTGTTGTTTAATTGTTTTCATTGTTTCATCGATGATTTACTATAATCATGCAAAGTTTGAAAAATCCCTATGCTAGTTTTAAGCTTCTTTGCCTGTGAACTATTTCACTATGAGGGACTTATAACATAAAATAAACTTGTATCTTTTTTTGCGAGCACAGGGAGTGATTATTATAACCAGTCATCTGAAAATGATGGGATAATTAGGAAACAGATATCTTTATAAGTGTGTTTTTGTTTGAGTTCAAATGCACAGGAATATAATCACGAAAACTCACGACATTTGAATGATAAACCGTCCATTATTATACCACGACAAAATACATGTAAATAGATTGTGATTTGTTAAAATAATTATCACTTCGTTATATTACGTCAATTGGTTAAGAGACGTCATATCTGACGTCATATGACGTATATGCATTCCTTTTTTAATGCCGTGCAAATATAGTGCTATAATGCAATCAACTGCCCTCTCTTTTTAATAGGGGGGACAATGTGAATCGTGTTGGAATAACTCGCAAATGGGGATACTTTCATCGTTTCATTTAACACTTATTTTCCGACACTATTGCGTTTTAAACTTTAACTGTAAATTATTTCCTTTAAGTGATACTTGACCAAATTGTGATGTTGACATTGTATTCTTCTTTAACAATTACGTGTTGTTATTTTATATTGTAAGTGGATAGAAATTCTTATTTTCAAATGTTTCTCCAATCGGAGAGAGGGGCATATAACTTCCTTGATTCTGACTTTTTTCTTTCGTTTTCCTGTAACACCAACATTTTTTATAGTTTCAAAAATACAAGTTTACAATTTTGTCCATGAAAACACAGAGGTGAGTCACGTGACCTGGTTGTTAAGGTGTCTGCCTCTAAACCAAAGGGGTTCAATTCCGAATATGATAACGTCAATATTTAAACAAATGACACTAGAACTACACACTAGAGAGTGCATAAAATAAAACGCAATAGAATTAAGATGACTCATTCATATTAAGGTATTACCTCCATTATGATACTCGTAAAAGATCGTGACAGATCGGTATATTTCGACAGTTTCCGTGCTTTAATGCAAAATTATTTAAAGCAGCACGCCTCATGATTCATGTTAAATTTCATGAAAATTTTGGTAATGTATTTGACAGTAAAATATTGTGAGGTAAACAAAATAAAGTTATTAACATATTGCAATTGGCACTTACAATCCATGCAAATAACCAAAAAGAGGTCAAAATATGCAAAAAAGCCCTTACTGCGTTAGTAACGCAGTAAAAATATGGTGATAAAACACTGCAAAATCAATCTTAAATCGCAAATAACATGTAAACTTTAACATTTATCTTGGTTTTACCTTTCTTGAAATATTAGTACATTTTTCTCAATTTTCATTTTCTTGAAATATTTTGGCTCATCTGGAGGCGTGCAGCTTTAAACGAAGAGACAAAACTACGTGATAATGATTTTATAAACTAAATGACTATATAATTATGTATGTGGAAACACATACATGACACATGTATTCGTCATACATTTTCTGTATTTTGCCAAGATAGACATTTTAGAGTTCAAGAAACAATAACCGTTCTATTGTATGGGGGCTATTCGTTGCCAAAAATCCAGCCTTTAAAACTTGACAATGCATACTTCGGTTCTACTAAACAGATTAGTAAAAATCTAATTGTCGATCCGATCCCAAACTGCACTGGTATTAAGTATTTTGATTATCTCGATTTGATAAAATGAAAGCTGTTAACATGCAACTTAGATAAATTGCAAACTGTATTTATAAATGTATAACTTCAAATATGCGACATGTAGAAATGTAAACGATAGAACGTACACAATACGTTTAATGCTGTGCATCATGACGTTGAGAATGTAACTGCATCTGACAACTTGACACACTCAGGTTTACGACACCACAATTTCCTTTTATATTCTAACGCGATTAACATTTGTAAACGATTTTGCAACTTCCATATATGGAATTATTACGGAAATAGACGAAAATAAATAGGCGGGGCCAATTTTCACGAAAGCAGAATATAAAGAGAGGTAACTCTTGCTTGTACAAAAATATTTCAAATTATATAGATGTAAATTTCACATACATCAATTGCATTACAGCTGACTTTGAACATCCTCTGATTTTGTTAAAACGTTTTTCTAGTACAGGGTATTCAAGTAATGCAAAATTGGTTAAGATATATTGTAACAATGTAACAACATACATACTGATTATGAACATAATAATATGCAAAAACTAAAGTTGGTGAATTAACATAATGGAATATTCCCCATATACAATGACACACACAACTATTTGTTGATATGAACGATAGGGTTTGTGGGCATGGCAATAAACGTTATCATATCTTTTTACATTCAGCAAAAGGTGCTAGAATACGATACATAGAAGTTAATTTTGGCAACACGAATAAAGAGAACTGGGGTTAGTATCTCGAAGCTATCGTTATATTTGCGTTTACGAACGTGCTAACGATTGACGGAGGAATGGTTAACGAGAGACTAGCGCAGGTATTTCGAAAGCAGTAGTTAAGCAATCGTTCGTTGCTTACTCGTTAGTTATTAACGATTGCGTTT